GTGTGTGTGTGTGTGTGTGTGTGTGTGTGTGTGTGCGTGCGTGCGTGTAGATTGATAAATGTGTGAATAAACCTAATAACGAATTATGAATGATAAATAACACGTAGAAATAATATATTTAGATTTTGAGCATTTCTGTTCCTATACGCCCGTGTTTCAGTTTACGTCGCCTCGACGATGACGTCATCGGTTGACGGGCTGCTGACCGGTGACGTGTACGCGCGCGTCGTGAAGGCTAACATTGCGTGTGAGAACGGAGTCGTACACATCATAGACAATGTGCTAGCGTACATCTACAAGAGCATCGATGTAACACTGATGACGAGCAAGAACATGTCGTACGTTTATATAGTATTATATATATATGATTTATATAGTATTTAAAAATTGTATGGCCCCCATATTATAATACTACAGTTTTGTCTCTTGCTGACGGGTAGTTATATACGTTCATTTGTTTTTATTTTCTCAGGTTTAGGTCTACGGGAGTACAACGTAGGCTTCGTGAACCACGATTCATATACCACAGTGAACAGCATTGGACAACCAGTCACCACCCTCAACTACTACATATCTGTGAATGGCTCTGATCCAGAACAGTTTGGGGCTGTCATGCCAAGCTCTCTGCTTTTAGGGAGTATGTAACATGTGTTATTCTATTCTATGTAATGTGATATCTATGAGGACTTGCACGGGTGTCACTGAAAAGGCGTGGGTGTATATCTCCCGTTCGTATATACCTCGTGCTAGTATCACGATTTTCCATAAGTTGCACAGTTGCGTGTGTCTGTGAGACAATTTCTCACTTACCAAACAGTAAGGCACAACAGTACTTCAGACTGATTGTCACCTGCATCAATTATCTTGTGATAATTGTGGCAGCTAAAAAAACTTACGAGTTGGGCACTTCAAATCAGCATCGAAAAAAGTTTTCATCATAAGGTTATCGTTTGTTCTCTGTGTTTGCAGAATATCTGCGAGACTTTGACATACCTGTGTGTACGGATCCATGCTACACGACTGTTCTCTACAACGTCACCTTCCCCGGTGACACATCACCCGAAGGGAGAGACAGGCTGCTCTTCTACATACAGCAGGCCTGGCAGCAGGCGAATCCATTTGTTGGCAAGACCATCATAGTGGACAACGTAGACCAGACGATAGGATTCATGGACAATGGGTAATCCGTTCTGCCGCCACATGCGTATAGTGATGTATAGCTACATCAATGTCTCTTTTGCGTATGGAACACAATTCGGATTTGTTTTGTCGCAATTGTTGGCAAATAATTCCTTTTATTCAGCGGAAAATTCTTTTGAGATATTCAGCATACGTTTTCGCTCAATAACAAAGGCTATACAAGAACAAAGAAAACATGGAAGGTTCATTCTAGCCTTAAATCGCATAAAATTAGAAATGGCAAATTGGTACGAAAAGAGTGCAAGTGATAAAAGAAAAGCGCATTAAAACCGCTCCACCGATTCTAACGACTCCTTTTGATCCGCATCCTTCGATCGCTAATCTCGATCGGCCGATCCTCTTCTCTTCTCCAGAGAGAAGGTGTTCACCGTCAGATACTCGATCACCGTCGGCACCGTGGATAGCGGCGACCTCGCCGCGCTCACCGTTCCCTCCGACGCCGAGCTGACGGACGCCGTGCGACGCGGCACGGGCGTGCGCGTGTGCGTGCGCGGACGCTGCCGCGCCGGCGCCACCTACGTGTTCTACGTGTCAGGAGCGGACCGCGACGCCGACTTCATTGCGGCGCGTCTGCGGCAGGCGTACCTCTCCCACTACGACGCGCTGCGGGCGGCCCGCGACGTCCGCGTCGCCATCGACGACGCGAGCGGCTACGTGGCACCCGACGGCGCCCCCGCGCGGCGCATCTCGTACGCGGTGCTCGTCGACGGGAGCGCGTGGACGCCTCCGGCAGCGATCGGCGACGAGACGCTGCGGAGCGCGCTGAGCGTGGCCGGACTCGACGTCTGGTACCCGTACGACGGGGTCTACGCAGAAAGCCAGCAGTTCGAGGCGACCTTCGACGGCGCGCTGACGGACGACGCGGCGGAGCGCCACCTGCTGGCTGTGTGGCGTCGCGTGTACGGCGACGCCAACGTGAACGCGTATGTCTACCGCGTCACGCAGGGCGTGTCACCGCGAGGGTGAGTGTGCGAGGATACGGGGGTCGTCGTCGTGGCTGTTTTATTTTTGGATGTTTTTTAGTATTTTTTATGTATTTGTTAAGTATCTGGATGTTTTTTTGCGACGCAGGAGGGGAGTATTTTTTTAATGAAAATTCTGATTGATTTCTCATGCATACTGACTGGTACTACGCAGTACTTACTGAAATGCTGATTGATATCTTGGTGTAACTTGTGATAACTTAACTAGTGTACTCGTTGCATCAGATATCCGTGTAGAACAGTTCCAGCTTCACCGTCGGATTCTACCAATTTTATGTTACCGCTGTCCACTACAATCGAATCTACTGTTCGAATGATTGCTCAGCATTTGTTTCCTGTTCCCGTTGCAGCTATCCCACCACGTTGGTTCGATACTTCCTTACTGTCAACGGACAGGTGATCAATCCGGGCTTCCTGCCAGAGTTCATCCTGGAGTACGCGGGCGAGCTCACACGCTCGACGTCACCGCCCCCGCTCGAGGGAACAATCACGATCAACGGCGAGGTCGAGAATCGCACTGTCATCGTCAACGTCATACGGCTCGTCTACGAGAGAGCGAATCCAGGTACGCTACGTGCTATATACTCCATTGTTGTGTGCGCGTGTGCGTGCACGCTTGTCATTATCAAAACCTTGTGCTGTGATCACTGTATGTACCAATTATAGCTGGTTTACCATCTTTCGATTGTCTGCCTCAAATAGAGTAAAGAAGTATCATGATGCATTTTTTATTACGATTAATAATCAAATGTTATAATGAAAGTGTACTGCTTATATAATATTATTATTATATTATATTATATATGTTATATGGTTACTGAACTATATTAATAATCAAATGTTATAATGAAAGTGTACTGCTTATATAATATTATTATTATATATTCTAATAATTATTATATATATTTGTATTATGTAAATGGCAAATTTATATGACAAAATTATTATATTCTTATGTCTCTGTATGTGTGAGTAAATGAGACAATGAAATTGTCTTGATAATCACGCGTATAATTAACACACGTGTGCATGCACGCGTGGCTAGCTGTGTGAGAGAACCCGTGTGTTAAGCGCGGTGTGACGAGCGCCGCTTGTTTTTCAGGGTCCGTCGTGGTCGTGAACATCACGTCGACGGAGCAGCAGCTCGGCGAGGATGGCGCCATCGTCGTCGTCGTGCGCTACGTCGTCTACATCACCGGCGGCACAACCGCGCCCGCGAGACCCAAGAACGCGACTCTCGTGGACAAGCTCGAAGAAAACGGCTTCAATGTTTGCGACAACTGCGGCGGTGAAGTGGTGAGTGTAGTATATAGTATAATGTAGTATAGTATAGTGTAGTATAGTATAGTGTAGTAGTATAGCTATTAGATATAGACTATAGTGATAGTGTGGTGGTAGAGTAGTATAGTGTAGTGTAGTGTAGTATTAGTTTGTAGTGTAGTGCTTAAGAGTAGTATAGTGCTTAGTATACGTGTAGTGTACGTGGTAGTATAGATGGTAGTGGAGTATAGTGTGAGTGCTAGCTGTAGCTGTAGTAGTGTAGCGTGTGTGTAGCTGTAGTGTAGCTTAAAGTAGGCATGTAGTACAGTCGAGTATTAGTGCTAGTGTAGTGTAGTGTAGTGTAGTGTAGTGTAGTGTAGTGTAGTGTAGTGTAGTGTAGTACAGTGTAGTGTTACACTGTTAATGGAGCAGCAGAGTAGGAATCCTGTCGTAATGACGTAATGTGATGTTTTCTTGTTTAATAGTGCGTTTGCGTTGCTTACGAGTGGTTCCCGTCGGATTTCAAATGCGTACGTTATGTTTTCTCGTCAATAGTGCGTCAGTGTTGCTTACGAGTGCTTTCTGTGTGGATTTCAGGTGCGTACGATCTACGCGGCGCCGACACAGTCTGCTTTCGACCACCAGGCCCTCAAGGACGCCCTCCGCCAGCTGTGGCTTGACAACAACGCCGGCGTACTCGCGCCCGACCAGTGGCGCTACCACCTCGTCAACATCACGATGGGCTACCTCGCCCGCAGCCACCAGCCCGTCGTTCGCATCGACTACGTCGTCGTCACCAACCCGCCGCGAGGGGGCGCCGCCGTGCGGCCGCCGACCACCGCGCAGCTGCAGGTGGCGCTGCGCGCGATCGGCCTTGCGCAGTTCCCCGCTGGCGACGTCTACGGACTCGACTACAAGTTTGGGATGCGGCTCCCCGGCGCGCGCAACCTCACCGTGGCGACGCGACTCGTCGGTGACGCGTGGCGTGCCCTGCGTCCGCGCGCTCGTGTCGACGTGATCGTCGTCGACCCGGAGGAGCGGCGGGGCGGCGCGACGACGCTGCGCTACTACCTGTCACTCGACGGCCGGCTCGTGCATCCGTCCGAGGTCGGGCCGCTGGAGCTCGCGCAGCTCACGCGCTGGCTGGCGACGCACGGCCCCACGGTGGATCACGTCGTGGAGCAGCGGCTGAGCGTGCCGGGGAGGCACCAGCCCGACGCGCGCTCGCGCGACGCCGTCACGCTGCTGCTGAGGAACGCCCTCGAGGCAAAGTACCCAGGTAAGCACAGGGGCTTACTCTGGGAAATTGAAAAGTGTAGCCAAAAAAATAGCCAATTGACTTTTTGTAGCCAATGTTAATCATTTGTAGCAGTTTTGTGTACACGTAATTTCATTCTAAATTACCTACTTGAACAAAATACAGGGAATCAAAATAATTAATAAAATGTTGATTTTAATAATTTGTGTCTGTATGTTTCAAATGTGTATTTCCCCAAAAAATAGCCAGGCTGAGGTGCATTTCTTTTAAATAATTTTAGAGAATTTGACCATAGTTTAAAATGCAGTTTTTGCAAAGCGATTATAATTTGTACGGGCACAAAGGCCCATGTCTACGTCAGTTTAACAGGTCACAATAGCAGGTACAAGCTTTTACAGGTTTTGCAGGTTTAGCAGTCACAAGCTTTCTTCTCCTCTGAATTTGCAGGTGCGACTGTGAGTATCGAGAGCGTGGAGCAGTCGGTGCAGGGGCTGGACGGCCGCTCGTTCACCGTGATCCGCTACCGCGCCGTCGTCAAGTCGGATGATCCCAACCTGACGGTCGACCCGCCCAGCTCCGCGAGTCTCGTCGAATCGCTGCTGCGATACTTCGCCGGACCTCAGTGCGAGTCCTGCACGAGTCACAAGGTCGGTCTGGCTCTCAGCCCCGCAGCGTAATACCACTGTGTCCGGAAAGTTTTATAAATGTTTGCTTGTAGGGAATAGGATTGCGTGTCGATAAATCTGGTGCTATAAATCACGGTCATTGTACGTACTTTTTAGTGTGGCCATAATGATCGTTTTTTTTCTGTAAAGAATGATGGTGTGTGTGTTAGTGCATATAGCTGTGCATAGTGCATTCGCAGTGTGCTTACTAACTATTTGCCTGTGTAGAGAGTAATCCAGGCTTTGGAATAAGATTGGGTAATCTGGAACTGAAACTGGAAATCACTGGAACTGGCGCTGGAAAAATCGTATATTACGAGTAGTATACAAGTATTGAGATATATCGTCAGAAGTCTCATTTTAACCTGTCTCGTATTTTCCCTTCGCGGCAAAACGCAGGCGTTCCCGCTGTATATCGTGACAAACATGACCATGCTGTCCATCCATCGACAAGCAATCGCCGATCTGCTGACGAACGCCTGGAGGCAGTATAACACTGACACTCTCTCTCGCCTTCCCTGGAAAATAGAGATCCTCAGCAATGTCACCGTTGGCTACATCACCCAGGAAGGCACAGGTACAAGCCACAGCTGTTCACAGGGTATCAGGGGTTAATAATGATATTATTATTTCTCATTATTAAACCCAGCAGGGTATAGATATGGGGAAGGTGGAGGTAACCGCTGTATCTTGAAATCACATCGTATCAGAATTTCTTCAAGTTATTATGTGCATGTTCAGTGCAAGTTATAAACTCCAACAGCTACTCCTGATCCCACACCTAGTCCACGTACGCGTTACACGTGCCTCTTCTTCACTACTAGGTGCCTCTACCAGACAGCTGTGGTAGAGAGCCCATGCATTGCCTACTATGCACGCCCGCCACATGCGTATGTTCGCTACAACCAGGTATCACTACCAGGTGTACAACAGAGAGTTCACCACCTATACTGCTATACAACCACCTATACTATATCCACCTATACTATACACCTATACTCCTATACTACCACCTATACCGCCACCTATACTATACACCTATACTATCTACCTATACTACCACCTATACTATCCACCTATACTCTCGCACTCATGTCTGTTCACATGGGAATCGTGTTCGTGTTGCAGGCGTCCTCGCGCTCTACTACCAGGTGTCTCTGCCAGACGGCTATGATCCGACGACGGACCTCACCCAGCCTCCGCTCACCGACATCGCGGCCGGGCTGAAACGCCTCGACGACATCACCCTCGTCGATGCCGGGCAGGTGTTCAAGGAAGACTACCAGCTGTCGGACGTCGTTTGCGGCGCGCCGGATCTTAAAGCCGCCGCTGACAAGCTCGCGTCCGCCTGGGCGCAGGTGAGAACGCGCCAACGTATACAGCCACTCGTTATTGACAGTAGTCGCAAGTGTACATTTACGGCGGCAGTGCTTCTTAAACTATTTCAATGTCGTTCGCCTTCGAGTCTTTATCACAAAATTTCATTTACTCGTGACTAATTTCCTTGTGTTTTTGGCAAGTTTTATTCACCCTAAAATATTTTTGGTAAACGATTCACCAGTTTAGGAAGCACTGAATTATGCTGTAACGACCATGACACTCACCCACCCACACACGCGCACACATATTATGTATAAAGCTGGCACATACCATGTATATAATATGTATATATACGTGATATACACTCGATGTGGGTATAATGTGAAACGGCTAGATAATAGTCACAAGTAGATAACAATCTGGGACCGGTTGTCAGGAGCATCATAAATAGCTACCAAGTCCAAAATATCATAGGCTTGGCAAAACTCTTCATTTAAAAGTGCATAACATTCTGGGCTTCTCTTCTTTATATATAACTATTTCTGATAACTGGCCCCATATTATTTGATCTGTCTCATATGTTGTGTTGTATAATCTTGATTATATTATGAGCAGTTGAGGAGCTTTTGATATATATGAGCAGTTGTGGAAGACTGAGTTCAGTTCTCTGACCAGGACCTATTGTGATGAGACAATAGTTTTTCATTCAATGGTCTACATCTAGTACAACTAAGAAACCTTTGAACCTGTTGTTCCTACAGATACTGGGCCAGATTCCCAGTCGTACTGTGAGAATACAAGTGTTCGTTGTGAGAATGGAAGAGACAACGAGAGCACGCGGACAAGAGGAGACGCCTAGTGTTTATTATTTGAAGGTTGATGACAGCATCAGGTTGGTTTCTTTATGTAGATTCTGCTTAAGCAAAGTTTTTTACCCTTTTTTGGCTCCTCGCGGAGCATATAGCGCCCTGGAAACTGTTGTTTTTGATCCTGTGACAATTGTGTGGATTTGCTCACCAAGCCTACTTTGGGGTGAATTATTTAGCCTTGTAACAGAAAATGTCGTACTACAAACAAAAAGTAACTAAAAGTGTCATAACCACACAAAGATCACGAAACAATTGCTACCCCTACCACATTGCCAATGACGGAACAATAATTGAGCTAATCACGCAAATTCCTACTCCGATTCGATTTTCCTTTTTTGTTAATTGTATGTTTGTAATCGTCAGGCACCCGTCGTCTCTGACGACTTCGGACCGTGGCAGGGTGGCAGCACTGCTGCTCCAGTGTGATGACGACACAGCCGACAGGCAATCTGTCGTTCAGCACTCGCTGCGTATCGTTGGCAAGCGGGTGATCAATCCCAGCGATGCTCTCGCCTCATCTATCAGTGTCGCCATCAAGGACGTGTGGCAGATGGCAAACCCAGGTATTATTATCCGCTCCAGGTTTTGCTCGTTCTTGTAATGTTTCGGAATATTCTACTGTACTTAACAAGATAATGATTAAGGTAATATGATCTTGGTGTACTTTCTATCTGAAAACATTAATTGCATTGTGCGTTCGTGACCTGTTCACTGTGACAGTGGCGGTATATGCTATATACTGATAGATACTATATACTGCTAACTATAATAGTATGATATGCTAACTAACTGCTAATATAACCAGTAGGCATCCACCGGTAAGCATCGCTATACTGATCTGGACAGGGCATGGTTTTCAGGAATACATGTCTTACGGGTGAACCTGCTAAATGCTAATCCCAGTCTGCTTCGGAAACGCAACGTGGCGAGGATGACGCTAAAATGCAAGTTGTTTGTTGTCAGGTAAAACGATCACAGTGCGCGACGTACAAGTAGGCAATCAGAACCCTCTCGTTATCACGTACGAGGTCTCGGCGACAGTCGGCCCGGATGAGAATCTGCAGCAACCACCGCTGCAGCTACTGCAGGACCGCGTGTTGAGGCTTATTCCAGGCCTCGGCTGCACTCGACAGATCTGCTCACAGACACGGGTATGTGTAGCTGTTTGCACTAGGTATATATAGTCAATATAGTATCTAGGTATATATAGTCAATATAGTATCTAGGTATATATAGTCTGAATTGACTTGATGTAGTAGTCGATGATGTGAAACATTAAACGATGCCGATAATTGACGTTTTTATTTAATTTAATCATTTTTTAGGTAAAACAAGTAATCGTAAAATAAAATGAAATAGGCAATATTCTGGATTGTAATGTAATAGGTGTAGAGTCATGAGTTACCGTGAAAGCAAATGCCAAGTAACATATTAACATAGCTTGTACGTCATTAAAGTATATTTGACACCTACTTTGATTCAAAGCCTGTTGTAATACAATCGTGGCTCAACAAAATACAGGAAAATACAAGGATGAAACAATTTCTGTTGGTGTGTACAGTCAAACATGGTTTTCATGAATTTTATGACCGCATGTTCTAATTATCCTGTTTCAACCAGAAAACCTCTATGAAATGTGCACAGCGATGCTTTGCATACAGAAGCAGACGAAAATTTTGTAACTTAATTATAATTAACCTTATAATTATTTATATTTACTATTATTATTGTATTATTATTTATTTATATCAGAATTAATAATTACCTTAAAGGGAGAGTTTACTCTAGGTTCTCTAGTTGTATTTTCAGCTAATTTAGGTTTATAATACTGCTACGTAAAAGTTTCATGCGTTCAACTCACCTTTAGAAATATACTTAAAAAAACGTTTTAAAACTAACGATATCAGTTGATTACAACGACGTGGCGCGCACTCAAGCCGCACGATCTGATAAGTTGCGGGCAAAAACCACTTTCCAGGCCAAGGGCTACAGATCGCGAGGCGTGTTTCTTATTTAATAATTAAAAGCAAAAAGATTGTATATCTTATAACAACATTATATATTCAGTTATAAATATGGATAAATGCCCTAAAATGAAATGTGGATCGTTCGGGTTAAAATAGCAATTTAGGTATAAATATAATCCGCACTTTTGTGATTAGCCTTGGCTGTAAAGCCTGCAAAATAAATTGTCAAATACGCAACTTTTTCGGGGTGGCAGCACGGTCGCGGGTGTCATGGCGCCGTTCAAATTTCGTAGTGCTGATGTGTAATTAATTATAACAATTAAATTGGGTATCTGGTAACAAATACGTGTGGGTATAGACGATTTGTTATACAGTAAGTACAGTTGTATGCAGTAAAATCCTAGAGGCTACTGTCCCTTTAAATTAGGTATCTGGTAACAAATACGTGTGGGTATAGACGATTTGTTATACAGTAAGTACAGTTGTATGCAGTAAAATCCTAGAGGCTACTGTCCCTTCAACTTGTAATATATATAAAAATAAAAATAATAATAACAGTGATTCACCGTTTCCGGACGATAACATCGCTCGTTCCCGTCGCACGTTTTCAGCCGGAGACGATCTATGTGCAGACAGACGCCGTGACGAACATCAACCGCCGCTTGCTCGAGCGCGTGCTCTCGTCCGCGTGGGCCGCGCGCAACCGCCGCATCCTCGACGTCACGCCCTGGGACCTGAAGCTCGGCGAAGTCAGCGGCGGCTACGTGAGCGCGGCCGGCCGCCCCGTCGTTGCTGTGCGCTACGACGTGCTGCTGCCGGAGACTGTGCGCATGAGTCGGCTCGCGACGCCCCGCATCCAGCAGCTGACGGCTCGCCTCGCGCGCCTCGGCCTCGTCCCGCTGCCGCGCGCGCAGGTGTTCGGCGAGGAGTACCGACTGCGCGACGACGTCCCGCGCTCGCTCCCGGCTGCGCGTCGCGTCGACCGCGTCGCCGCCGCGTGGTCGCACGTGCTCGCGAACCGCGGACGCGTCACCGAGGTGAGGGTCGTTGCCATGGACGCGACGCCGTCGACGACAGAGGATGGCGCGCCGGCGACCACCGTCGCCTACTACCTGTGGGCGGACGGCGAGATCGTGCGGCCGGCGTCGCTGCACGCGGAGGATCGCGCGGCGGCGGCGCGCCTCATCTGGACGGGCGTACAGTTCCGCACGGTGGAGGTGCCCGGGTCGTTGACGCTGCGTGGTCTCGGCTCGAGCGTGAACGAGTCGGTGCTGACGCGCGCCCTGCTCGCAGCCTGGCAGCAGAGGAATCCGAGTACGTTCGATTGTTATGTCGTCGTCGTCGTTATTGTTTTTTTTAAATGTCGTACATTGTATATTATTCTATAGAGTGATTATGATTATGTCGATTATGCCGTCGTTGTTATTATTTTATTATTTTAATAATTTATAATTGATATTTTGTTGTTGTTTACGCTTTATCATTTACGTTTATTATTATCGTACATCCGATTATGTCTATTATTCCATAGAGTGAATACCTACCTACCTATGATTATGTCGATTATGGTGTTGTTGTTATTCTTATTTTATTATTTTAATTATGTAATGTTTTTTACGTGCGCGTGTCGATACTGTCAAACCTGCGCTAGCAGATGATACTGATAACAGTTTTGCAATTAACGTCATACACCATCGTGAGTGTCTTGCACAGTTTTTTGCAGGTATGTGTCAGTCGTTTTGTTTTTTGCTACATTGCAGCTAAGGTGATTGTCGTCAATGCTGGTCAGTACAACCAGCGGCCTGACACGGTCTCCATGACATACAACGTGCTAGCTAACATCACCGTCGGGGCGTCTGCCACCTTAAGCGCTCCCTCCGATCAGGATGTGAGAATCCAGATAGCACTTCTCATGGGTGGCTTCGACTGCCAACCAGATATCTGCACAAACAGTGAGGTAGGCCTTGGTAGAGAGAGAGAGAGAGTTAATTACCTATTAAACACCTACTGAATATTACATATTAATTTCTTCGTTCATTAGTGCTCGTGTTGTTATGGATCTGTTTAGTTTAAGATTATCACATTACACCAGTCAAGGTTAATTAAGAATATTATCTATTTAATAATGTGCTAATGTTATGCGTCTGCCTCGCGTGTAATTGCCATCGTCTCTATGCCAACAGCATATAACAAAACATTAACAATACAGTATATAAACAAGCACTAATGAACAAAAGAAATTAATATGTAATTCAGATTGTGTTTAATAGGTAATTAACGTTGACTGGTGTAGCGTGCTAAGGCACAGATTATATTATTGCATATTATATAAATTGCAATGCTCTACACCAACTGAATTACATATTAATTGTTATACTAAGAATCTATT